TTTGGGAGTGCGAATCCGGATATGGATACGGGTGCGGGGATACGGCTAAGAAAATTTAAAATAATAAAAAATAGAGCTATAAAATATTGTAAATATTGAGACTACATGCTAGGTCTACATGGAGTACAAAATAAGAACATGACACTTTGAATTTTTGGTTTCTCCGACACACAAAGCATCAAATATGAGATAAAATACTACAACATTGAAGGTATGCCATTTTCCATAACTTAAATCTATTTAATTTTTGATTTTGAGAAATCAAAATCTCAAATTTTCTCCCAAATTTATCGATGGACTCCGGTCAAAGTGTCCGAAGTCGGTTGACCGTATCCGGAACGTTTTCCTCTCCAGTACCCGTCCAAGTCTCATATCGGGACGGGGACGGCACCAAAGTTGAAGAGTTCGTGCAACTTAGTTCAAAACAATTGCTTTCAGTCTCTCTTCTTCTCACATCTTCTACATATGCTTCAAGGGGCCGTGTATTTTCTACTTCTCCTCTTTTGTCACCTGCTTGCAATGTAAGAAAATTGAAGAGTAGAAGTCCACCACTTAAGACCATTCAAAGTTTTGCTTTTGAAAATGGATTTTTTTGAATTTGTTAGTTGTTTGGATTGAGTGCTGTTCAAATTGATTGAAAATCAAAAGAAGTTCAAAATTTAAATTTGAAGTGATTTGGAGTAGATTTAAGCAGGATTTGAGTTAAATTTCAGAAAAGGCACAAGGAAGAAGAGGAAGTCAGTTTTTTGTATAATTATGTATAATCTTGTTACTTGTATAATAATGTATAGGAGTGTAGAAACACACCTTATACACTATTATACACCTTTATACAAGCGTCTGTAGACGAACTTCTTCCATGGTTTTCAGTTGCAATTCTCGTTCAAAACTAGTCCAAATCTCCATTAAATGACTTCAAATTTTATATACAACCTCCTTATACTATTTCTAACAAGTCTAAATAACACTCACTCCAAATTTCTCACAAAATCAAATTCAAAATTTAAACTCACATATTTAATCTTGTTAAAAATCTAATTTTCACCACCCAAATGAATTTGGTTTTGTTGAATTAATATTTAATTCACAGTTACTGATTCAAAAATTAATTTAAAAGCTTGAGGACTCTTTTTTAAGAATTAAATAGTAATTTTGAGAAACTATTTGAGTTGGATGTTGAATCTTAGCCAATTATTTTTGGCTAGTTAGTTGTAAATTGAAATATGGGCTATAAAATTAAAAAGTATGAAACTCAATTGTTCTAATGTGAAATTTTTCCTAATTTTTCTGTCTTGTGTGTTTCTTTGGTGTTTAGTATAGCCTTTGTGTTAGTATTTTTTATGATTTGATGGAAATTTTCTGGTGTTTTAAAAAAAATAAAAAAATAAAAACAATTTTAACGAACCTAAATTGTTAAATATTTGATGAAAATTATAGCGGTACAACTTTTACAAACTTAAAAATACCCCCATTTTCTCCAACTCGTTCCCCTCCTTCCTTTCTGCAGCGAACTCCACACTGACGGAATCAAATTGTATGTTCCTCTTTTTCACTTCGTTTCTATCTTTAATTAAACCAAAACTGTTATATCCCTTTTTGTAATGAATACATTGTAGTAAACCGTGAATTCTACTGAATTTGATTTTGATTTGCTCTGTTTTCTCCTATTTCTTAATGAGCTTTGATTTTTACCACATTAATCTGCGTTTAAAGTAGTACAAATAACTATCAAAATGAATTTGTGTAGTGTTTATTTGGTAAATTCCTCGGTCCTCCCCTTTGCTCTCACCTCTTTCTATTCTTTTCCTTTTTTTTTAAGTCTTCTTCATCTGTAAGGTTTTTACTTAAATGGGAATTATGTAATTTCCATGGAGAAATTAAATAAAGAAGCAAATGATTGGAGACAAGCAATCGGGATTTGAGACGATGTACCAGCTTTTGTAGCTTATTAATCATAAATAAATAATGAAACTATAAGAAAATTCAGAAATTTATAGCTATATTTCCATTAATATATATTTATACTTATTTTGGAAAGGAAATATTGTGGAATGGCTCTGTGTTGTACTATTTTTGACAGTTTTTAGAAGATGAAAGTGCATTGAGGTCGAGTATAAAAGGATAATATATTTATTATATTATTATTATATTATTAAATTAATGATATTTGATCATTTTAAAATTTATACTTTGCTCATTATAACACATCATTATTTTAAGTTTTAAGAGAGTTGAACGCCAAAGTATATTAAAGATAGTGGTGCCCCCGTCGTCTCCAAATTATGGGTCCGCCTTTGGTTATATATATATGTGAAGTTCTAATTATGAGCTATCATTATTTTTAGGACTTTTAACGCATTTGGCTGCTCGGCCAAAATTAGTATATTATATACAGTGGCGGACCAGGATCTCAGGGAAGAGGGTTCAAAAAAAATTTTTTGTAGCTAGTGGGAATTGAACCTATGACCTCATGAATATTTTGAACCCCCTTGACCACTAAACTACACTTTTGAGTTGTGTTAAGGGGGTTCAAAACTTAATATATAGAGGTAAAAAATAAAATTTGCCTTATGTATACAGTATAATTTTTCGGTGAAGAAGGTTCGGATGAACCCCCTTCCGCCCCCCTAGGTCCGTCTCTGATTATATACATCTACCCGCTATTTTCTGGGCGGGCGGTCATTTAAGTTAATTTCCATTATTTATTTTTTTGGTGAGAAGCACTCGAAATATTTCAGTTTATTGTTGAGAAAGCTTGATATTTACTGATGTTTTGTAAAAGTGAGATGTGTCGAATAATGAATGAGGGTAGCCGTTATCCAGGGAAGCCCGGACCCCGTTGGATCCTATATATGCAGCCTTACCTTGCATTTTTGTAGAAGGCTATTTCCGTGGCTTGAACCCGTGAGTCATGGGCCGTGACTTCATGGCCACACAACGACAACTTTTACCACTGTGGCAAGGCTCCGCTTCATATACAAATAATGAGTAAGAACATAGATGTCTTAGGAAAGTAAAAGCATTGAAATTAATAGCGAGCATACTGAATATGCACTCACAATTTTGTGTTAAGGACACCAAAGAATATTTCATGTGTCTTTGTTTCGAGTTTGAATGTATTTTTGCTTAATCGAAAGGGAGTGAAATCTATGTGATATTAACATTTAGTTTAAGTTTATGTACATTAATTCGTAGATAGTGCGGAAAGTTAGTAATTCTATTACTTGAACTTCTTATTATGATAGAAGTGAGTCTTATTAACTTTTCAGGAAGTGTTAGAGGTTATTTGTTTCAGTCGTGTAGGATTTACTTGTCATGTTGCTAGTTGGATGTTATAACTTTTTAATAACGAAGGTATCTAGGCTAGCTTGTGCACGCCTCAGGTGTTTCACCGCATACTTGTTATATCCTGCCAGTACAGGTCTAGCGTAACTCTGCCCACCAAGGAGGAAGATGGAAAAAAATCACTTAGAGGTTTGAACTTTTGTGTCCAAGGTTTGATCTCACTTGTTGGACCACAGCCCTTGGGTGCAGTTGGATGTTAGAAATTTACACTGAAGTCGACAGAAAAAATAAATAAATAAATTCAATAACTTTCTCGGATCCCATGTTTGTAATATATTGAAGGATGATAAAACAATAGCACGTCATAGATGTTTTGGTTATCATGTGATATAGGAGTATCCTCACGTGGATCAGACACACATTTTGTTTATCTTGAATTCATAATTCCCTGCATGCCAATCAATTAAACCTCACAAATTTTGATGGTTGTCCCTACACTTTTCGAGCAAAAATTTAGTTAAGTAATGTGGGGAAACATTGTGGTTTTCATATTGGCCTCTGAAGGACAAAAACAATTCGCAGTTTGGACCGTGGTGGTTTGCCTCACAAGATCCACCGGATTCGGAATTTTAGGAACTACCATGGTTTTGAACTATGGGAGAAAACCTCCGGTCGACAACCTTAGATTTTTATGGGAAACATATAAAAGAGCCATAGGAAAAAAAAACTGCTGGAATCTTTCCTTTTGTAGTTTTTTATTTACGGAAAACAGCTCTTTCTTCAAATCTTGTTTACGCTTCAAATATTCAAGCTGAATTGCATTCCAACAATTTGACCTGATGCCTCGATGCACGTCTCTGTTCTTTTCCAGATGCATAAATGTGTGAGGATCTTCTCGCTAATTGAGTCTCGAAAATGGTTTACAGTCGATGGAATGCAAAGATTATGCCATCCACTGCCATCCGTGAGAGTTGGACATATGTGGGCGCAAATCATGTTCAAAACCAGTGGAGGAATGAGGCCTAAGAAGAAAACATACTATAGAGTAAATGAACTAGACAGAGTCATGGAGCTTCAGAAGAAACCATCATTGATTTTACGCCTAATATCCATCATTCAATCACAGAAAAACCAATGCATCCTTCTTAGAGACCTTGAGAAGGAAGTTGGATTTGTGCAAAAGTGGAATTTCATGGGTATAATTGAGAAATATCCTTCGATATTCCGTGTCACTGGTGGTAATAGAACTCCACCGATGGTTATGCTCGCCGAAAAAGCTGATAAAGTTGCATTAGAAGAAGGTGAAGCAAGAGCGCAAATGGAACCCATTTTAGTCAAGAATCTAAGGAAGTTGTTAATGTTGTCGGTTGATTGCATGCTGCCACTGGAAACCATTCAATTGATTGAGAATGAATTGGGCTTGCCTAGTGACTTCGAACAGTCACTTGTTCCAAAATACCCACAATTTTTCTCAGTGAAAGATGTCAATGGAAGAACTTTCCTTCAATTGGAGAATTGGGATTCTTCACTAGCAGTCACTGCCAGGGAGGAAAGGTTGGAGCATGAAGGGGTCCTGACTTCGAAAGTGCAGGCTAGAATATTGAAGGATGGAAACTATGTTGGCCCTTTTGCGTTTCAATTACGTTATCCTGCTGGCTTCAGGCCAAACGTGAACTACCTCAAGGAAGTTCAGAAGTGGCAGAAGATGGAGTTCCCTTCTCCATACTTGAATGCCAGAAGATTTGAACTTGCTGATCCCAAAGCTCAAAAAAGAGTGGTAGCTGTGCTTCATGAGTTCCTCAGTTTGACTATGGAAAAGAGGTTGACATCTGGTCAAATAGATGCATTTCATTCCGAGTTTCGATTACCAGCTAGACTTCTGCTTTGCTTAATCAAACATCATGGTATATTCTACATCACTAATAAAGGTGCCAGGAGTACTGTGATACTTAAAGAGGCTTATGATGGGTCTACTTTAATTTGTAAATGCCCTCTTTTATTGTTTAGGGATAAATTTGTAGAACTCACAGGCAGAAGAGGCATTGATTCATATATCAGTGTTCCTTCATCGTAGGTTATTTAATAAGAATATTGGTGGATAAGACAAAATCATGGTTTTGTTACAGTTCCTGAAGAATTATTACAGTGGTGCAGTTGAGCCTTATTGCGGTTGTAGGTTGTTTTCTGTTTCCCTTTTTGCATTCCGGCATCTTCTGCCTTCTGGTGCCTAGTCAACAAAACGCATTTAAAGTGTCATCCCTGTTGGTATCAGCTGGTAGTTGTTTCCGTACATATTTGTTACCAAGATTGATTGATACTGTATCGTGTCTTTTTCCCCTGTTTCTCGTAGGTCTTGATCGGTATTGACTGTTAATTAGTGACACCGATGATTAAGATATTGGCAGCTGTAAAGTTTGTGTAATTGAGTAAAGCTTTTGTATCAGTTCTAAGTTGAAAAGGACAAAGCTTCCCTGATATTAAAAATTGAATGAATCATATTATTTTGACTTTTAGCTAATTTGAGGCTGTGTGTTATTGATATTTATGGATAATTTTCCTAACAGATGAAATATATAGGTAAGAATGTTTAGAATTAGGAGGTAGAAATTTGGAACATGAGAAAGCTGGGAAGAGAGACACAGGGGCATGTAGGAACAAAATCTTCTTTCTAAAGGTCATAAAGTATCAGGACTGTTTATGCTAAGGATATCTTAGTTATTAAGTGGTTCTTTGATCCAAACTGTTATAATTTACATTGTTTTGTTAATTTTTTTTTAACTTAGTTGATTTTATATTTTGTAAAGATGATAACATAGTCTGATCCTATTGAGACCTTACCAAATAATTCCTCCTATAACTAGTAAACTGAGGTTAGCCAATTTGAGGTGATACCATTTACTATGATAGAATCAAAACTTAAAAAGGAAAGCCTCATAGGTTAAGATCAAATGCCTTCTTTGTGTGTGGGCTGAGGGAAAACTCATTGTGCGGCTGCTTCACATGTTTGAGCAGAATTCAGAGTTACACAAATCAAAGGAGTTGGGGAAAGTAGATGGATCGCAATCAAAGTCCACAAGGTTAGTGTTTAATTATCAAAACTCTAATTTGGTGATTTGAAGATTTCTTTCTTCTTTATTTTTAGCAGGAGGAGAATAGGTGATGTTCATTGTGAAATTGCAGGTGAAACTGCCCAGATTCTCGTAGAGTTCTTAGAAGTTGCCATTACGTCAGTTGTATTCCTCAAAGGAGTTTATCCAAGTGGTAAAAGAAAAATTGGCAGAAATTCGTAGCACTAGTTTTATTGCTCAAGCTAGAAAATCTCTGAATTAGTGATCTTGTTCTCTGAAGGGGCATTTGAAAGACAGCGTTACATGAATGTTGTGGTTCAAAAAGCTAGACACCCGGAGCTTCAACAGTATATCCATTCTACTGTCAATGGACTTCTTCCTTTCATACAAAAGGTTTATTCCATTCCCCTTCAACAGGCCCATAAAAGTCATTGATTAATTGCTCATCTTGGTTACTGGAGATGGCTAAATGTATAAATAGATATTTCCAACTTCCCCCCTCCTTTCCCGGCCCCGCCCCATGTTTTCGCTCAGGTGTTTGTAACAGAGGAACATTTTGTTATGTGCTTGAACTTATAACAATTGTTTGTTGGAAAAATCTTATTGCTTTTACAAGGGAAGTGAGAGATTGGTCTATAAGCTGTTATTCTTGTGCCGTCTTCGTTGTGCAGAAGTAATCATGCTTTTCTACACAGGGATTGGTTGAGAGAGTGGCTGTGATTTTCTCTGATAGCAACAACGTACCTCTTGAGAGATTTGTTTTCAAGATAAATGTGAACCAGTCCTATGGTTTGAAGTTGGAGGAAGCTGATCTGGTGTTCTCTCTTAAATCATTTTTGATCAAGCTTCCTTTGTCACAATCGATGATGAAGGTTCTTCCGCCAGGTAACCTCTATTAGAAACTTCATTTAAAACGTCACTTCAGATCTTCTTCTAATCACATTAAATTAGTGTGTTTGTATTTACTAGATGTGCTTAAGACTAAGTATCTAAGGGAAAGGGAGGTTAATGCTATAGAACCTTTGTGCTGAATTCATCATTTTAGGTGACATCTTATCCCTGTGAATCCAACTCTAGCCACGTTATGAATTATTTTAGCCAAATGGAGGAGACAAGCGAAAAAGAGCATATAAGGTAAATGGAAAATTTTGATGGAGAGCAACCTCTTATACCTATTATATCCCACTTAAGCAAACTTAGTTGAATTTCTTTAGCCAAATAGTATGCAAATATCATACACTGTGCTAGCATCTACAGCAATATGAATCTGACATGGCCGAATATGATCCTATATCATGTCTTATCTACAAATTGATCTCTACTATACCAACACTTCGAATCGGCAAAACAATATTTCAAAGACCCCTACATGATGGACTTCATGGCGAACGAATATTTTGTTGAACAGGGGTGTGCCTGGCAAATGGTTTTGTATTGTAGCAAATATTTTGTTGTTAATCTCATCATAGGACAATACATGATTGAAAAGATGAAAAAATCTTTTTGTTTATCCATGAATAGATATATCGTCCTTTGTCTTTTGCGATTTGCCTTTATGGGAATTAGAAGTGGGTTCCTCAACTTGTCAGCTTTGATAGATTGTAGGTGGGAGATAACAGCTTACTTTCGGGCTCTCCCGCAGAGTAGTACAAGCAAAGACGCCGAAATTTGGGTCCCAACTGATACCCAGCAGTGGCAGCAAGCACCTCTTATAACTCCTATTAAGTCCATGAGGAGTGAACCTCTAGGCATCCAGCTATATCTTGAACATCCAAGTCTCTCTGAACCAAAGGCTTAGAGAGACGCCATCTCAGAGGCATTTGTCGTGGAGCTCAACCAACATCTTAAGATATTCTGTGTTAATACCTTGACTCCGAGCTTATAGAACGCATGTGCCAACGTCTTATCTGGTGTGGTTCCATATATCTTTCTCACTTTGCTTACAGTTTTTACTATAAATATTAGGTAGATTAGTCATACTGAGTTGTAAAGTTGTTGCCATGTGACTAGGAGGTCACGGGTTCGAGCCGTAAAAACAGCCTCTTGCAGAAATGTAGGATAAGGTTTCGTACAATAGACCCTTGTGGTCTGGCTCTTCCCCGGACGGCCCCTTTTTTAGTCATATTGAATTGTGGAGAGATCCATTAAATTTAGGGATTTTTACCTATGTATACCATATAGCAAACCTTATTACCTCCCATGTTTAAGGTTTGTGTTTATTACATCTAAGCATACCAAATTTCAATTTATATACCATAATTAAAATTAAGGGTATAATTATTGCTTCATTTATTCTAGGCATGATTTTATGAGTATATATTCTCCAATTTTAGTTTATCCTCTCTCTCCTCCCACCCCCAATCAGATGACGATCTCATCATAGATTTGAAGATGTTTATTAACATCAATATTATGTACCTTAGGTCTACGAATCTCATTTCTCTCTTCTTCTTTTTTTGGTTTATTTAAAAAATGAGTTGACCTCACTTGAATTAAGGAAGGAGAAAAGATTGATGGGTTTTGGATATGTAAATTTTAGTCCAGTTTAAGGAAGCTCAGTATATAAAGTGGTAGGGTGGCGCAAAGGTTGGTTTCTTATTTGTAGAAATTTATCTACGAGATATCTACAAATGGAATACATTGAATTTTAATACCCCAATTCTCATATCAATTGTAGCATAATTGGCATTTTCGACATAATTGTAGAAGACTTGTAAAAAATTTAGTCTTCGCAATCTACATTTTATCTACAATTTATCTACAATTCTACAATTTAACTATAATTTCTGGAAAAATATGTCTTCTTCTTCTTCAACGAGTTTCAATCTGAAATTCAGTCAAAACCAAGTCTAATCTTCACCAAAACCCCTCAAAATTGAGATATAAATTCCTAAACATATTTCGAATTAATTACAATAACACACAATCCAAACAAATAATGATTTTTAAAAATTCAAATTTGAATTCAAAGCTTTCAAGCTTTTTAATGGCTATCAATGGTGGAAAATTTATGGAGAAGGAGAGAATTACGCTGCAATGGATTTGCTTCCGTTTTAAATTTCGAAATTAACGGCGATAGAATCACCATTAAATCTGATTCCTACAAATTTGGCACCTTTTTAGGTAGAGTTTACCTTTTTTTGGTTTGATACAGATTTTGTAATCAAACTATGGACTAGGCGGATAAATACCAAATTATGAACAATTTTGATAATAAGGTTTGGTATATGGTATAGATAGGGAAAAACCCCTCAAATTTAAGTATGAGAACACTTAGGGCCCAAAGGAGAAATTTAAGTTATGTACAGCAATTTGTCTCTGAAGCTCCTGATATTCCTGTGGTGAACATGAGAATCCTTTTTAGCAAGATATTAGGTAAGAACTAAGAAGAAAATAAGTCTGTTATGCAAATTTCTCTCAGGTGATAGGTTGGTTTACCAAGATTTAGTGTTAATATATCATGTGAAAGAATTTAATTCAATCTTAATTTAATGAATAACATAATTAATGGCTAGTGTAAACCTTTTTTATATGCAGCGTTATACCACTGTTTACGGACATTGAATATCCTTTAAAAATAAGGATTTTGTCAGATGTGAAAAAATTGGTTGAAACCACCAAAATACCTACTAGGAAAAATCAAAATCACCAAAATAAACAACTATTACGAGACTTTGATTGTGCAAGTTGGATTTTGCATTTTCCAAACTGCCATCGATGTGAGGTTAATGGATATGAACCTATCATAAAAGGATGTGCATATTCCAATCTTAAGAAGCTCTAAACTTTATATCAAATTACTCAAAAACTTTCATAAAACTGCATGACATAATAGGAAAAAATGCATATGCATGTATTTTGATGATCTCATTTAACCTACCTGAGTTATCTGAAATTTCCCAAGTATTTTATCTTAATAAAAGAACACTAAGTTTTTCTTAGGCCGCATGAACAGGAGGGTTAAAGGCAAGCTTGAACTTGACACGAGATATTATCAATTAGTGGTTGGTCAATCTGATAATCGAATCATATTCATGGGACAACCTACGTGGGACATTCATAATAAAGATTATAAGTGTTTTCTGATATAATTAATGGCGAAAAAGGAAGATTTTATGAGCTTCTGCTTGGAAATAAGTCAATAAATAAATATCTGACTAGCTTCTAAGGATATCTTTTTTTAGATAGGAAGACCTAGTGAAATCCATGACTCAAGTTATGGATTCAATCCAAGATGAAGCTTTTCTCCAAATATGTGATAAAGTTATTCAATTGAGTTGACATTTGCCAATTAATACTTTTAAAATATTTATCAATAGCATTGTTGTAGATGTTGATATGACACTTAATTTTTGGGGTTGTTCATAGAAGGCAAATACTATAATAAGTACGGTTTATGTTTGCGAATTTATCCGGAAACTTACAGAAATGTCCCGTATAAGTTTTAACTTACCAACCTCTAGCTAATAATCTAAAAATCGAAACAAACAAGGAATTTTTTAATGGGTATAGTCGAAATTCATTGAAAACATATAGATAAGTCAATATACTAAATTTGATGAAGATTGGACGTGATTTGGACTGATTTTGTATCAAAATTCATAATTAAATCGTGACACATGTATCAAACATGTATTAAGCATGTATCTCACACACAAATATACATGTGATACACAATCGATACAAATATGATACATATGTGATACACAGTGTGATACACGCATCATTTTTTTTTTCATATTCAGTTTTTACTTCGAATTTTCAATTCAAATCACCTCAAAACTTTACCAAATCATCTCAAAACTGAGATTCAAGCTCCTTAAGATATACCCAATCTATTCTAATAGCACCCACTCAAAAGAAAGTAAAAATTTGATATTTTTTTGCTACAAGTAGCTAATTGGCCATTTTGGCTAATATTAGTAATATTTTATCAATTGGCCAATTTTTGTAATGGGCTATTTCTAAATGGACATAGCTGGTTTCCCAATTTACCCTCATATTTTTATTATACTCGGGTAACTTTATATTTGCTTGGCTTTAACATAAGTCCTCACCTATCAATTTCTTTTTTTCATGAAGGGCCCATGATTTAATTTATAATTTATAGTACATGACAACTTAGATACTCTTGGATAAGCAGCTTGAGTCCTGTGGATTGCCTTGACTGGAAATTATTGATAGGAATAAAACGAGTTGAATTTACTTTGAAATAGAACTTGTTGATATTCATTAATATGGAATTTATGTTGCATTGGATGTGTTCGATTACCCAGTTTGGTATTGTACCCTTCATTGTACGTGGGGAAGGGGGGAAGGGGGGTTGCACATTTGGCCCCACGGCCAAAAATATTTATGGCCCCTAGACGATTACATAAACTATACATATATTATCATATGCCGGCTATTTTTTGGAGTAGTGGCTAAGTTAATTTTTCAAGGAGTATTGACAAAGCTGTCAAGTAGAATCAACTCCATTCCTGACCCATTGGCATCCATATTCGATCAATGCCACCACAATTTTTCATGTACATGCAGCAACAGATGCCAACAAAACTTAATTTCCAAAATAATGCCAGAGGTACAAGTCCCAAACTGACAGAAAGATTAACTACTTAACAAGCTACAAAAAGGAGTGTATACTGTACAAACTTATGGCAAACAGCCAAAGATCTGGAATAGTTACAACTTACTTACCCATATGAGTTAAGATCCTACTAATCAAAGCTTCTTTCTTTCCGGTGACCGGAATGTTATGTGCAGCTAGGTAATACTTCAGCTCTACAACTGTTAAATCCTTTAACTGCAAGATGGCAACCAAAAAAAAGTGAAACCCAAATATATTCTAGTGAAAACTAATGGAATTCTATGATGTGCATTCTGAAAAAGAGTCGGGCGTTAATAACAGTGTAGGCCAAAGTATTTTTAGTGCCTATCTCTCTAAAAATTCCTTACATACTTGAAGAACTAACAGACTTCTGTGTTGCAACTAATTTAGCTAGCACAAACCATCCCTAAAATTATAGTTTGATAACATTTTGAATCTGTTGTTAAGCCCAGAACTAAGGCAAGAATCTATAGCGTAACATCATAAGCTTGAAAATGTTACCTTCCCATTATCTGCAAGGTCAGACCAGTCATAGTTGGAATATTCTTTGATAGCATTTGCTTTCCGTTTCCTAGAGGGTTCAGCTTTTCCATCAGTTTTTGCATCGTCCTCCTCATAGTTCTCTCCATATACAGAAAGCTTAAATTCTTCCAATGCTTTGACAATACCAGGCCTAGCCCCCAAACAATATACAAAAGAAATGTCAGAATAACAAGCTTTCTGAACATAGAGTCAAGTTGAAAACTAAAAGAGACCAAAACCACAGAATAAAGGGACCTAAGATGGTGGAAATCCGTCACTACCTGGCCATCCCTTCTTCATCGGGGAGAGTCTCGTCTTTCATTTCAGGCATCTCGTCTTCATCAAGTGCAAGAGCTTGTAATACTGCATAATGTCTCTGCAATGCTGCAAGAAATGCTCTTGTAAGAATACAAACGGAATTTCTATATGACCCAAAATATAAGCTACAATTCTTCAGAAGGGAGGTGATGTAAATAGAAAGGGGCACTCCACTTCATATTGTTCTGTAGAAATTAAGAATGCTTGTTGATTGGAGAGGGTCTCCTATGAATTAGGTATCCTACTTCACACTAGCATTATTTCACGGTGATTTATATTTATAAAGAACAGAAAATACAAGATATCCTACATGGTCTACTGTGCAATCTTCTCTAAGATCAGCCTGATACATCAACTTTGCAAGCAGAACATGAATCTATATCATGAATGAATTACAAATAGTACACTAATGTAAAGGTCATATTGTTGAACTTTTTTATACAATATTGTCTAAACTACATTGTTTCGTTTTTTTAATATTCTGCAGATGCAGATACATGGATTAACAGAATTTACAGACCTCTTTAAATAGCAAGAGTTTTAAAAGTTCTATTTTATTTAAAGTTTGTGAGCAGATTCAGCAATTTACACCACCTCAAAATGTTTAACAAATTATATGAGGAACTTCTCTTCTTTTGGATGTCTCCTGGAAATAGCCTCTCTGCCTTTTTCGGGGTAGGGTTAAGGTTTGCTATACACTCTACTCTCCTAAGACCCCACTAGTGGGATTTTACTGGGTATGTTGTTGGTGGTGGTTTCTCTTCTTTTGGATGTCCACCTCATAATTTTACACTTATTAATTTCCATTTAATCAACTAATAGATGGATCGGATGGATCGGTCCAACCATAACATCAAGCTCCAAAAAAGGTTCCACGCCATAAAAATTATCAGCCCACTCTTCCAATTCTAATAACAGCAAAGAGCCTTGTAAAAGCTTCCATTTGGAATAGAAAGTAGAAACTACATATAGTGGCAGCATAGAATTTTGATCAGCTTCCCCAAGTTATGAGATCTTACCAGGATTGGCGAATTGGCACACAGAAAAATCTTTGAGGTCAATACGTCTCACTAAAGCAGAGGCCTTCTTTATCTGGTCGTCAGTCGCATGAGGTACGGAATTTGGATCAGTATGAAGCTGCAGGTATAACCACATCCGTTAGATGTAGACTTCATTAGTTTTCACAAAAGAAAAAAAATATGACTAATCATTGAGATAAAAAATATTCTGCCTGCCTCTTCAACATGTCTGATATCGTCAGAATATGGAAGATAAATGAGATGCATCCCTGGTGGCTCGACTTGACCACTAGGAGTCGTTATTTCATCCTGCAATTATCAAAAACCAAGAAAATATATGATAAACAGTTAGAACTTTTTGCCGATATTCACAGACAAAAGATACACCAAAAAGGGCTACTTCCTCCACCCCATTTCCACTGAGAAGTTTGAACGCGCTCAAAGTTTTACAAGGTGTCTTGACTTGCATATTATTATATTACTAAAAATAGAAAAGAATGCTAATGTTACAGTCAATAGTTAGTGGGGCCAGGAAAAGATCATTATTTTAAAGTAGGTGTTTTAAAAAATCTAGAAGTATTTATCAAAAAGAGAAGTGGTGTCGCCAAAACAGCCACAAAAAAAGGCTTAGTCTAGCCAAAATGATCGCGAAAGAGGTGCAGAAAGAGACCGGAATGTTGAACTCTGAAAATAAAAAGAAGAAAAACTTTCGCCTAGCATGAGGTGCCAGTCAGAATAACTACTTAAGTTTCTATCAAAATCGTAGAGGCTCCTATACCATTTGAAAGAGAACAAAAGAAGAGAAGCTCTTATTGAAATTGGTAATTAAAACACAAGAGAGCTACATGCTGAGCCACATGAAGGAAAGTTCTTTTATTCTTGGAATCTGAAATTACTTTCACATAATGATTAAGAAATCTTCGATTTAAATTCTTAAAACTCTCTTGAATTGTAAGAACAATATGATTCTTGACCTGGAAAAGTGCCAGATCACTCTTCATATCCTTCAATGCATGTCAGAGGTGATTGCTGATCCCAGCATCAGCAATCATGGGTGCATCAATGGCAGAATTATCTTACATTATAAGTCAAAAATATTTAGAGAGGGAAAAAGATATCTTACTTGTGCAACAAGAGCAACCAATTGAGGATGACTTGAATTCCCATAAAAAGTAACTGCAAAGCTGCGATGATAGTTAAAAGTCAAACACAAGAATAGCAACACGCTTAAGAAGCGTAGCAACAAAAAGACGATGGATTTATTTCTAGGGTAGGGTACATATAAAATAATTGAAAGTGGTATTAATGAGGAAAACGCAAGCAGAAAAATGCCCAAAAGTCAGCAAAAGGTGCCACTTAAGTAATGGTTGAGATCAACACAAACTAGTTGCAGCCTGTTTTAACACATGACTTCAACCAAAATTCAGCACAGCAGCATGCTGATAGACTTGCTTAAACTACCTAAAATAGGGTGAAATGTGAGGGAGATGAAAATAAAACAGTTGCCTGAATCTAATTTAAGAAAAAGGCTGCCCAGACACACATTTTCAGATTTTAATTTTAAAAACAACATTTTAATCATTGACAGAAATGAAAATGAAAAACCAGTTCAAAGTAGAGTGCATGAACCTTTACTGAAGAAAGAGGGCATCAAGCAACTTCTAAAATTAGATACAACAAAAAAAAAAACAATGAAATACCATGTGGTCTGGGGAGGGTAAGTGTATGCACACCTTACCCCTACCTTACCCCTACCTTATGGAGGTAGAGAGGCCGTTTTCAACAAGAAGGTAATAAGAGACTAAACAAATGGTGCAATGTGCAATAACAAAGATCCAAGAATATGACACTACAAGGAATAGAGTCAATCCTGCAGGAAATAATGACACACCGTGTAATAACAAGTTTCTAGGAATAGGAAAATACAAGACTAGTACTAATACTACTGGTAAGACTAGTCGAAACTCTAGATTGTTTTTCAACCCACAACCCTAATTCTCGGCCTCCACACCTTCCTATCGAGCGCCACTTGTAGAATTAGATAATAGGTCAAAATATGCATAACTGGCACTTATCACTCCATACTATTAACTTAAACGTATTTTTTTCTTTTGATAACCGTGGTGTCCGGCCAGCTTGCGCGCACCTCGACTAATTCCACAGACCAGGTAACTCTATCCGCCAAGGCTTGGATAGATGAGAAGTAAATTTTTGCCTCCGCTGGGATTTGAACCTTAGACCTCATGTTCTCACTCACTTCATTGACCACTAGGCCACACCCTCGGGTGCAACTTAAACGTATTTCCTAATTCAATAAGCAAAATATTCAGGCATACTAACCGCTTAAGCCGCACCATTGATCTGTGGAGGGCAACGAAAAGACAAGTGCTTCCAATCATTTCCTGCCAGGGACCAAGGAGAAGCAACAGAAATGATCATCATGGAAATGACATATTTTAAGAGATGGTGAGAGGCATAATTCATAATTGGTGAATTCGAAGCGGAAAAAATGTTACGGGTTAAAACTACTGGTACTGCATAGTGCAAGTTGTTAAAGCTAAATTTGATTAACTATGCCATATGGACATGAAGATAGGTATAGAAATGTTGAAATAAAGCATAACTTTCAAGATCACTCATCAGAATCGTTTCTTTATTACTGAGAGATTCACATGACATGCACTTTTGTCAGCTAGATGTAGTTTTAAAAGGTGAAATAATTCAATCCACTATCCTTTCTGTCAACAAGATAAACTGGCACATATGCTTTATATAAAAACTCTTACCAATAATGGTTAGACTAACATCAACCAGCATAGACAATCAACAATGAAGACCAATGTGAAGACTGTGAATAGCCTTTAACAATGATCATATCCCGAAACAAAAGAAGCAAAATGTAGGTGGCTTATTGAAGAAACTACATGTAGGTGGCTTATTGAAGAAACTACCTCGTCACTGGGAAAGACAAAAGTTGCTGGCTTCAGGTTATGATAATCCTTTAAACAGCTCAAAGGCTTGAAGCCCAGAAGACGAAGATGTCCAGTTGAAACTCTCTTTACTTCTGAAAGCTCATCCACAGAAAACATGACGTTCTCGCTGAAACAAAAAGGCGAACAAGACATCAGTGAATGGTTGAAGAAGTATACCAGAGTCAAGTTGGGCTGGTCATTAGATCATTAAATAAAGCAAATGATAGCATATCACGGAAACAAAATGTGAAGTTTTTCCACGATTACTAAGTTCACTACTTAATCTTTTCAATATTCCAATAGTGGAGATTTATCACCCTGTTTCCAATTAAAATAGCACTGCTGGGTGCTGAAAACTTGTATAGTCTGTGGCGAGGCTTGGTGGTAATATTTGGCTTTTCTTTGGATAATCTGCATAGATATTATGCTACCTTAAATTTTTCTCCTTTTTAGTATGTTCTGGTATTATGAGCTAATCTTTAGTGGTTAAATTTTTGAAGTTTTGTCAAAGAAACAAATTATCATTCAGACATTCACTCTACCTGTTGAAACTGATTTTTTTTTAACTGAAATTGATTGCTGACAACATACATGAATGCACTCTATATGAGTTTGCGATATCGGAAAACTCTCCTAAATTTTTTGGATCCCGAAATATGATAACACAATTATTAACAATAAAATAATATTCTACAGTGTTTTATATGACAAAGCGCAAAAGTCGACAAAGTCAATGGAGCATTAAGCAAAAAGAGAAGAGAGCTCACACTATTTCAAAATGAAGAGCACAATCTTCAAAACTCAGAAGTTTAACTAACATGTATGCATTCAGTACTTCTAACATCAAATTGGAACTAAAGTTATTAATTTGTGCATCCAATATAAAATAATGACAATCTTAATCGAACCACTCAAAGTGGTCATCAATAAAATATACTCTCAACAGGCCATAGAAGGGTAACATCAATTGCAAACTGATTTTCGATTCCCGATTTATCTACCATTATAAAAAACTAATTTGCAGCATCCAATTTCAGATTTAAATACATTTGTAATTTTATTTTATAATAGAAAGGTTCGGCAGAAACATGTAAACTTTTCCCTCCTAAACAGATATCCTAAAATAAGGATAATAGAAGAAAGAAGCAAAAGAGAAGCATAGAATCATAGTAGCAGAAGAAGAAAACTAGCGTACTAGAGGAAGGAGTCATTTTTTAAGAAACAGATACCGACTTTTTGTAAGATTGAAAGCGCTTTACAGGCTCCTGAATTATAGCAGCAGTATCAGCACATATGAAGGATCTCTCTGTCTGTAAACAAGAAAGAACACAGCAGAGGTTTAAAGACGTACTCTATATCAAAACCCTATCAGAAGAGCAGAACAGACATTTCATTAAATTTTCTACCAGCTTCAATGACAATTAACAACTTGAAGTTAATTATCAAAAAAAGTTGCCCTAGAAAGAAGGGACTTGGAGACAAGCTGACACAAAATTCCTCAATACCTTACCAAATACTGATATGACATGGCAAAAAATTGTTGTCGTTACATGCAAGAACAAATATATGAAGAAAGCATTTAAGGCAATGGACAAAATAGTTCAAAACCTTTAGAAATTCCTTATCCAAAAATGAGTCTTCTTCTTTTCGGAAAAAATATCCAATATGCGACATTATGCCGTTCCACCCACTTGCAACACCATCTCAACATACTGCCCACACCGTCTATAACTACAAATACTTCTCATCTAGTGAACCTTGTGTGAGTACGGCCCTTCCCTGTACCCTGCGTGAATGCGGGATGCTTCGTGCACCGGGCTGCCTTTTTTTTCCTAGTGAAACTTGTGTGCTAGATCTAACACACCAATTAGATTCTACAAAGACACTACTAATCCGAAGTAGAGAGTAATAATTTTTCCAATGAACTCCATAAACTCTACGAGCTTGTTTGATTTCCCGTATAATAAATAGTAAGTTCAGTATAAAACACAACATTACTAATACAACAGTTGGTTGTGGTACAAAAGTTTGGATTAGTAGAACTAGTCTAACAATGTAACACAATGTTAGTATAAAAGTTGCACAAATTATACCTATATAACATATGCAGGATTCTATGTATTATTTTTTCAAGATAGAATGTGGAACAAGAAACTAGAAGTACTTAGATAAGAGCACCTAAAGTGCTTTGGAAGGACTCGTTTAATAAATAACATCAGATAAACTAAAAAAAATATTCATTACCTGGATCTCAACATGATTGGCCCGCAAGGAGACCAAAAAAAAATAGTTGTATGCTTGGGATGTACAGAGAAGTAAAACCAAAAACTTATCCTGATAGTTCTTTCATAAAAATGTATAGATGCAATCACCCAACTGAATGCTGACAGAATATATAGGAAGATAGAAGGTCGAATAAGATTTTGCTTAGGACAAAATGGTCGGTGTTCTAAAGAAAGGAAACAGCAACTAATCCTCAACGAACAAGCAAAAGATAGCTGCAAATCCGTTACGTCAGAACTTATAAAGGATCAAAACCCCAAAAAGTAAAAAGGTTAGTTATGATCAATCATTCCATGAAGCTCACTTCCACCAAAAAAGAGATGCACATAAACTCAGCAAAACTGAAAGAAAACTGCAAAAGAAAAAAAAAGATTAAAGCAAAGCATGATGATGAAGCTAATAAGTACCTTTAAAGGAAGATTGGTCATCGAGTCAAGCCAAGTTATTGTCCCTGCAGAAAGTTAAAAAGAGGTCTGAAGATTACTTTATAGTCACCTAACAGTAATCATTACATAGTGAAAGATAGGGCAACAAAGGCAGACCAGGATTAGTTGGACGGATCAAAGCATAGGTGTTAAGTTCAATAGATAATCCATTAAAAATCACAAATCTAAGTCTTCGAACTCTGCGCTTCTTAAACATGCGTTTTCTTAGCTGGTCTTTCAGATCTTCAAACCTGATATAGCAAACATAGGGAAGGAACATGGCCAACACATTATTAGTAACTTTAGGCTCTAAAAGGATAACAAAAACTAACAGGCTCTAAGTGCATTCAACTCCTTAAAACCTTGCAACCTGGCATTTATATCCAGACATCTCGATCATAAGAGAATAAAACCACAGATTTCGGAAATGGAGGAATTTTTCTTTTAAAAGGAAAGGGAGGAAATTCTAAAAATGCCTAAACCAGTAACATAGGCACAAGACCCGCCACCAGTCAGATTCCCAGATAAATAAAAAGCGTGTACAAAATTGAGCTGTTTAGCAACGTAGGAAGCACAGACACCAAATCTTGAGCGTCTACCCAAGTTGCATTCACCACCACCCCCCCCCAAACCACCAATCTGGTCATCCCATCTTCATGTTATTTGGTTTTCCACATTTGAGTATTCATTTCATCAATCAAGAAAATAAATAAATAAATGAAACTAAGTAGTAATATGTTCACCATTCATATCACCCATTTGGACCACTCATTTCTCTCTACAGGCACAAAATGGATGTTATTTCCCTTCTGTTCTCCTTCCAGTAAAAGACCTCTTCCTATTACTCAAGACGACTGTTCAAATAACAAAGAAGTACAGTGTACAGTAAACAACACCTATTGAAAAAGATGAAAACTGTCCTTCTTCAGTGAAGCCTGAAATTGGAAGTAGAGGAGCTTTGCTGATAGTCTGAACATTCTTCATTCTCTCTTTAGTAGTATGCTCTTTTTTGCTTGCGTTATACACAAGTTGGTGAATTTTATGCCCTTTTCATGGTCAATTCCTCTAATTTTCAAAGTTTTATCTCTGTATCTATTCATGTCTGCTAAATGCTACTCAACGGAACAACCACATGGTAACTATACTTTCATATTTCACTTGTGATGTCCCTACCTAATTATATTGGACGATAATCTTGTCTGTCTTATATATCTATGTCAGTCTCAGCAATTATTTTTCTTAAATGATAGTAACTTTCTATCAAGATTAAATCTATCTGCATATGTGGTCTAGTGATACAACAAATTCAAAGATTTTCTAATCTTTAGAAACTTCAATAGTATTATATGATTACATTGTGTTACTTATCAAAAAATATGATTATATTATGTTAAACTACATAGAACAAATACATGCATGCTTTTATAAATGCCTAGACATAAGGAGAAATGCATCTTGAAGGGACAGACAGAAAACTCTGAATGTTAATAATCTGATTCTATATATATAACAAAGAGAGAGTAGTTTGAATTGAGGTTAAGCCAAGTGACAAGCTAATAAACATCCACTAGGCAATTTTAAAATAATATCTATTATCTATATCTTTCTATATATATAAATAGGAGAGTAGTTTGCATTGAGGTTAAGCCAAGTGGTAAGCTAATAAAAAGCTACTTGGCAATTTTAAGACAATATCTAGTAGGCTGCGTAATAAAAATAAATTCGAATTAAAGGATAAATCTTTTAATCTATAGATAAAGCTATGGAATTTGATTCTTTAAAGGAAAGTTTTCAATTAATCAACTTAACGTTCTTCTAACATGAACCCCCCTAAGACTACTCTAAGAAGTTGCAGAAAAGAAAACTTAAGTGATTTATTCTTCATGAACATAAGATCACTTACAGAAATATTTTTACAACAACCAACCACCTCACTTCAGTCACCTAAAGAAAGCACGACTATTATGAAACAAGCTCTTCTACTTTTGGGCTCCTTTAATGAATAATCATTAAGCATATTACAGTAGGTTGTGTTAATAACTATCAAGTCCTTCAGAAAGAGTTTTACTTTTACTTGGAGATTCATCATTTGACTAGTGCTAAAATATGAGAGAGCCATACATATACCAAGCATATTAACAAACTTGAATAGCTCACAACTATCCATGGGGAATTCTCAACAGTTGAAGATTTTTTTAAGGTATACCTCTCTCCTACAAGAGCCTTGAACTGAGCAAGGTCATCACCCTCCAAACCAAGTAAATCCTGAAGCCCAAGATCTTGAATTAGATAACAACGACGTGCAACTTTTAAAGGATCTAAAACATAAACAATGACCATACAGTATAGAAAAGGGAAACATTGAACTCATCATCTGGTCGACTTAGTGGAAGAAGCTCAATTGCAATACCAAGATCTTGAGCATCCTGCAACCATTCGCGATATGAGTAGAACGGTAGTATAATAGTTATTCAAAAACTATTTGACAAGCAAAGTTATAAAACAATCTAAATTTTTATTCACTCAGAGTTATCTTTACATAAATTTACTTTTTCCCATAGGATTTGTTTTCAACTGACTAAAATATTGATATATCAATATGTGGCATAGATACTATACTTTGGCACGCTGCAGTGTTGTCCTCATCATATCCACTTTTATGACACCTTTGAGATTTCCAAAAGGATCATCTTCATTTGTAAACAAGAGCATGCGTTTATCAGCAGTTTTTGCAGATCTGAAAATGGTTTTAAAGACAAGTAAAATAGGGGCCGCACAGCATTTCAGGGGAAAACAAAGAGAAATGAAAAGGAAATGGCTAGTAAACTGGAGAATAGAACAAATCTTACCCTTTACGGAGAAGGGCTTGTGCAACCCAGAGAGCATTGTAAAGAGAATTCTCACGAGAGCCAGGCACAATTCCATACTTACTGCCTATTTCTTTATCAAATCTTTCTGCAAACATATAAAACAGGTGATTGCAGCATTACTCTAGAAAACCAAAGAAATCACACCGTGTTAAGTCCATCCATTGACGAGGCAACAGATGTAACTGATAGCATAGAGGATGAAACTTTCTCAGTCCTTTGACATAGCAGAAAATTCTCTGCATTATTACTAATTATGAAATAAACATCATTTTAGGATATTCCAGTTTTCTGGTCAAATAATGACTATTAAAGCACTTCATACGACAATTGTGAAGAGTCGGTCAAAGTGATTGCTTCAACATATATTCGAGAGACTTGTTCCATTTGAAAGATCTGACAACAAGCCAGAATTCTCAAAACTGAAAAGTATAGAAAAGCGTTAAGGTCCCCTTTTAAGCGCAATAACCAAAGTGTGGGCTTTAACGAAGAAAGGTGTAGAAAAAATTAAGAATGATATACAAATAAAATATATTTACATATATGTGTGTGATGCAAGAGAAAATCAGAACAGAGACAAATAATTTTTGGGATAAGAGATTGAAAAATCTGTAATTAATCGACCAGAAAGAATTAGGCACATCCAGTTCAAAAACGATTTTAAATTTTTAACTTAGATGGCAAGATGTCATTTTTAGTTTTTAGTAACAAGTTATCTTTTCTAATTTCTTATTCCTATCACTAGAAAATGCATGGATAACATTTTTCAAATAATGAATGTATGTTAAGACTGAAGTGATGATACATTTCATAGGTCTATCAGCCCACCGATTACACAGAAAGGGAAAAAGAAAACAATTGATGCTATCATTTGCCAACAATTGATTGTCTAGTGATCTCCTCTTAAATAGGGAGTCCAATTCCATGGGTAACTTAGTACCTAGGTGCCAACACTAAAGCGCTAGCTAAGCAAGGCCAAGTGTAAAAACCGAGATTCCCCGAGCTTGCCTTTTATACACACTGGCATCCCTAGTGTATGCAGGTACGCCAGTGCTTTAACAATATAAGGGCTAACTGCTAACTATAGACCACGAGGGCTCATCAGAAAGGAGAGCAAACTAATACAAGGTTTCAAAAATGGTCATTACACCT